ACCCGTAGCAGATAGGACAGGTAAGCAAACTATGATGGTAGTAGCATCAACACTCCCCCGACATGAGACAGTGTATTCATTGCTTGGTTCTGGATGCAACCACTTATGCTGTGGAACAGCGTCTCGAGCGTGCACCAACCGTGGCACTCTATACGAAACTCTACAAGAAAGATGAAGTAAAATGATGAAAAGGATACGGCTTAATGAGTGCCTGCTCTGCGTTCGAGGCGGCCGAGATAATCTGTCACTTGCTCATAAACTACTAACATTATGCCACCGCCTGGACCCAAACGGATAATCTTTGGTGCAAGCCCCTTCCATAGTGACGATACCTGGAACGATGACCACAACATCGTCATTGAGTAATAAGGAGACTCACCCCTTCTGTTCGTGCTACATGGAGTAGCAAGGGAACTGTGCGTGTTGGTACCTGATGGAATCACACAATCTCAGCAGCCGTGTTGCTGATAATGATGATGACGCAATTGCTCACTGCTAGTAGCCTTCCTGCATCCTCGGGTCGAGCTTGCTTTAAAGCTGATGAATTCTGCATTCTAGTCTTAACAACATCGAGAGGAGTGTTAACACAACACCCGAGGGAGCCGGCAATGGTACCTGAACGGTCTTCGATCCAGAAGACGATGTGTTCCATTCGCTTTGCGCGAGGGTATATCCATCAATGGAGGAGGGCATCGCGAAAAATAGAGAAGTATTCGTACCAGCAGCGAAATTCAGGAATTTAGACTCCTCCTTGGTTGAATATATGGTCGACTTAATGGCGAAGATACTCCCAAAATAGGTCCCTGAACGGGTGTGATTGGAAGCTACAAGAGCAGATATTACCATTCCAGCAGGCGTTCCTGAGCAGTGTACACCAGAAGCCAGTGAAGAGTGCAGCAACACCCTCATGCCGAATAATCGCACTTGCGGCCTGTCGCGTCTCATGAATGGTATTAAGCCTAGAGAAGTGTAGCATACCTGTATGCTCGAGGAGTAGAGGCCTCTGTTTTCGGGTAGCTGCATACGTATCTTCACCAGTTCTGGTGAGCATACTATAGCTCCCTCGCATATACCAGCTCCTACACCACTCATTAATGCTAGCGTCTGGCCGGAGTATCCGAGCCTGGACTAAG